ATGTGTAAAGTTCTGCTTTTTACACGATGAATTCTTGGTGTTTCTGCAGTTATGGTTCAGCATTCCACAGACTCTGTGTCTAATATTTAAGTATTTGCTCTTTCCTTTGTTGGCAGGTGAGATGTCCCATCATGATGTTCTGGATGCTGCATCCCAAGGAATAAATGTCATCCTCTGTGAACATAGCAACACTGAACGAGGTTTTCTTTCTGATCTTCGAGATATGCTGGGTGCTCACTTGGAAAATAAGATTAATATTATCCTGTCAGAAAGAGACAGGGACCCTCTTCATGTGATTTAAAGCATACAGGGACAACAAGATGACAGAGTCTACAAATTGATTTGCTCCCAACTTGAATGCGTAACAGGAATCAGCAGACTTAGTATCCGTCTGGAAGAATGTCTTAGAATGTACACTATTTCTGGTTTGTAAATCTGCTTCACCAAATAGTCTGTAGCTTGTATGGTAAAAACCATAAAGTATTAAACACTTAACAATTAAACGTATTAAACAAACTACTATTAACAAATATTTATTATAAGATGAATTAAGATTATGATACAATGTGAAGTACATATTTATCAACTCCAGGAAGATTACTTAACATTCTTGGTAAGTACCTTCTTCTTAGCTTAATTATAGATGAGATCTGTCATTTGAGATCTCTCTGCTCTTGGTTAGTTTAAAAAACTTGAGATTAGAATACTGATTTCTAGGTAGCAGCCTCTAGGGGGTGATAAGGTATGTCTGTATGTTCCTGTTCATAGATCACTAATGTCTCACATAAATTTCAGAATCAGGATGAGGTTTTGTTTTTGTGGTTTTTTTCTTAATATACATGACCATTATTCATAACTATTGTTTTATTGCTTTTGGGTAACTTACCTGTAATTTTATTAGTAATACATAAAAGATGGTTAGCTTTCAAAATAATACCAGTTATTATACAGTATTAATTTTGTGCTAGGCCCTCTCAGGTATGTTATAAACAGTTTCAATCCCTATAAATAAGAATACAGGTATTATTATTATTTCCATTTTACAGATGAGTGAACTGAAACAGAGGTTAAGGAGTTTGTCCAAAGCCACGTAGATAGGGAGTGAAGGAGTTAGGACACAAAATGTGGTAGCCTTGCTTCACGGTCTGTGTTCTTTACTTCTTAACACTGACAGTAAAACTGATATAGGAGTTATATAAGGAATTCTGAAGGAAAAGAAATCCATTTTCACTGGGATTTTCTCTGGCTGGTATGGGAGGTTTTTCGTTTGGATACTTATATTTCCAGTTTCTCTGCTGAGCTTTTTACTTTGGTAATAATGAAAGCAAATCTTGTAAAATGCTGAGAAGGGATTTTACATTTTCTTTTGTAGGACCCTTTTCCTACCAATCATCGCCCAGAGGATTTGGGATCCTGACTCACAAATTATTCTTGGTGGTTTGCTGTAATATTGATTCACTGCAGAAGTAACTCGATAGGACTGAGCCTTAAGAAATGTCCCCAGTTAGAGTCAGAGGAGGAGCCAAGAGAGGAGGTGGGAGGAGAACCAGAAAAGATTCAGAAGCCCAAGTAGAAAGCTTGGATGAGGGATGGTTGACACCAAAGTAGAGAGAATGAGATAGCAGACAGCTTTGAGAGACCATCTTAATGGCATTTGCCTCAGTCATTGTGTTCTATGTGCTGGGCCCATAAAGAAGTGGGGAGAATAGGACAGAAGTTTGGATAATATTTTAGAGTATATTGTAATTAACTATGCTAAGGATATGCAGAGGGCTTACAGGGAAAGTTATCTGAGGAATGGGGATAGATTTCAGTCAAGAGGTACAGCGTGAACAAACACCAAGTAAAGAGGAACCACACAATGCATTGAAAAAGCCCAAGTAATTAATTCACTTGTCAGGGCAGAAAGCAGGAGGCATGAAAGGTATTGTCAGAGATGGTACTTAAGAAATAGCTTGGGGCCAGTAATTTCTCAAACTTTTTTTCTCTTTATGGCACACTTTAACAGTTACTCATGCTGAAGGTTGTGGATTAATTCCTTTGGATAGAGTTCCAGAGGGGATTTAATGGATCGAAGAATTCATGATTGGACATACTTATTGCTAAAGAGTTTTTGTTTTTTTTTTTTTAAAGAATGACATTATTGGGGTGCCCAGGTGGCCCAGTTGGTTAAGTGTCCGACTCTTGATTTTGCTGGGGTCAAGATGATCTAGCCGTTTGAGTCTGAGCCCCGCATCAGGTCTGTGCTGATAGTGTGGAGCCTGCTTGGCAATCTCCCCGCTCCCCACCCCTACCCTCTCAACTTGTCATGTCTCTTTGTCTCAAAATAAGCTTTAAAAATTGTAGTAGTAATGTCACTTTTTTTTAAGTTTCTTTACTGGCATGCTAGCATTTTTAAGTAACTAAAAGTACTCCCAAATATATCCTCTGTAGTTTTTAAAACATAAAGTACTACTGAAGATGAATTCTTTATTTTCGCTTGTCAAATTTTCTGAACTGTTAACTTTAAGGTGTTATCATTGCTTTTCAAACTTGAATGTGCACAAGAACATCTGGAGATGTAGTTTAAAAATGCATTACAAAAGGGGCACCTGGGTGGCTCAGTCGGTTAAGCGTCTGTCTTCGGCTCAGGTCATGATCTCATGGTTTATGAGTTCGAGCCCTGCGTCAGGCTCTGTGCTGACAGTTTGGAGCCTGGAGCCTGCTTTGGATTCAGTGTCTCCCTCTCTGCCCCTCCCCCACTTGTGCTCTGTCTCTGAAAAATGAATAAATGTAAAAAAAAAATGCATTACAAAAAATGCAGATTGATTCAGATGCTTGAGTAAGGCCCAGGCATTTGAGTTCCCAAGAGATACTGCTGCTGCCATCTTGAGGACTACACTTGAGGTAGGAAAAGTAACAATGGTGACATGAATACTTGGGAGGGCTTGAGGCCAAAGTGTGCTACATGCCAAAATTATGAAAATTTTGTAGTTTTCTTTTATTATACTCACATTTAATGTCATATTGTCTACAGCATCAGTTATTTCAAGTTTATTTTATTCAGCATAGTAAGGATACTATTAATGCTATTAAAATCTCATAATAGATATTCTGTACTTGACCTTCATGTCCTTAAAACTCCTGTTCTAGCATAGAGCCTTCTGTGTAATGAGCGTTCAACAAACATGGATTAAAAATGTTTTAGCAGCAATTTGAAAAAATGTAGGAGACTCTCCTAAGGGAGAAGTAATTGTAGAAAGCCTAGAACAAAGTCATTTGCATAACACTTTTTTTATCCCTTAGTTTTAGAGGCCAGTCTGTGATAAGGCAGACCCTCATGACTTTGTCACCTGTTGGCTACTCAGGACTAGGCTGGAAGAGTCTTCTCACCTAGAATGTAGGAAAATACATTCTGAACAATGTTACTGGCTCCACATTTGAATCAGGGGGACAACAAAGACTTCTAAAGTAAGTAACTTTTTTAAAAGATAAAGAAAAAAAATCTATTAGCTGTCTCCTAAACTGATTTTATATGAATGAAATGTTCATGTATTAAAATGACAAACATGCTAAGAAAGTCAGTTTTTAGAGCATCACAAGAGCTGATTTAGTGCACTCTGCATCAGGGATTCAGCGTTGTATCAACTTTTGTGGAGTGTAAGAATGCCTGTTCCCATCCCTTGTGCCTTTTTTGGGCCTGTATTATTTGGCCATTTTATTAAGAGCAGCCAGAAAAAATCAAGTTTTTCAGGTCTGTTATTTCTTGTCAGAAGCAAGTAACAACAGAAGTTGGAGCCTTAGCAGTCAAGCTCTTCACTGACAGTATAAGGAACATCAATACTGAAACAAGTAAATGAAGAGTGTAGAATAATTCTGCTAAGATCTTCATCAGGTCTGTAAGATGCACTTATAAAATATTTGAAGGACTTCTAATTATTTTTAGTAAAAAATCAGTACTAAAAAAATGATTCTATCCAAATTGGCTTTTTATTTATTAATAGACTATTGACACATAACTGCTTGCAAGTAGTATGCACACAAAAACTATAAAAATAAACCAGTAGATATTTAAGGGCAAATGCAAAACTTGCATATTAGGTCATTAAAGATTTTATATACTTTATAATACTATAAGTTATAAACTAGACATTAAGCAAAAAAAGCAAGGTGCAAACCAGTACAAATCATATGCTACCATTTGTGTTTTTAAAAGGAGATATAGACATATTCTTCCATGTGCATAGAATACCTCTGGAGGAATAAACTCCTATCACTGGTTGGCATAGGGACTGGAAGGAAAACTCACTTTTCATTGAATATCCTTCGGTGACAAAAATTTTTAGAATCAAATTCATGTACAGATTTGTTTAAATATTTTGATTATATTTAAGACTAAACTCTCATGTGGATTTAACAAAATTAATTAGATGGCACAAATAAATCACTTCCAACTCTGAGCATTTAGGGAAATATTTTCATGAAAGGGGTTTACAAGTTAAAGTATGTACTGCATCAGCATTTTTTACTTCTATCTTATTACAGTGGTATTTCAATGAAGAATTTTTTTCCAAGTATGAAATAATTTTAAGGGAGTATGTGAAGACTACAAGCCGACCAGTGGCCAAGGTTAGCCTTTTTCTCTTTCCTAAGGAAAAAGACTTGTGTAAATATTTCGAAGGCTTGAAATTATTAAGAAAAAAACTGAAAAGTCTTACAGTGAGTTTTAGGTCTACTTGATAGAGAAATCAAGATTAAAGCAGCCATTTATATGCTACTCACTTGCATGTTACTGAAGAAAAAATGTCAATAGAAGAATAACTGAATTTTTATTTTCTGTTTTCTTGAAAACAATGACTAAAATGTAATTCAGGATTGTGTTTCTGTAGCCTGGCTTCTCACTTGTGTCATGAGGATGATGGCACAGATATTGTTCCAAGTACCATGATTATTGTTCATGTGCTTTCTAAGGTGGGTACACATCTTATATACTCATTATGCTTTTCCCACTGTCCCAACGAAATAGTGTCATGCCCTCTTCCTCCCTACCCCCACCAGCATGTAATCTAAATCCAAAAGGAGAAAGCGACATCACCTACTCTTCCCCAGTCTTACACACCTTTTGTTAAGCCTTTCAAGAACAGGGAGATGATCTGCCTTCTCCTTTATACTCATCAGCTCTGACAGAAGAGCAAATAAAGTAGATTTATGTGATGCCAATGTTTTTGTACTTCCATACTCTAGAATAAACACATTTGCAAACAATCAGCTCTGGGGGGGTGTTTAAAAGGCCCTCAAAAAATTAGGAATAATATCATCTCTAGTATAAAAGAATTCAAAAACAACCAGCTCCAAATAGTCCCTGAGCACACTGTTCATTCCAGCATGAAGTCTCCAGAGAGGTAATGAATGAAAGGCACGTTTTCTCCTACTTGAGGACCACTGCATAGTACTAGAGATGGTACACCAGCCAGGCTAATCAAGGTTCTAATCGATGACATTCCCCCTCCTAATTTTAAGTCTTATACACTGGAAAAAAGAGTCTAATGTTAGATGTAAACACAACACTTTAGAGGAGTGGCAGCTGGGGTCCAACAACCCTTCTACAGAAGAAGAGTAAAGGGCAGCTTCAAGACTCTTCTTCTTCCTTTTCCAGGAAATCGGTCAATGTTCCATTGTCCACAGGAATTAACAAATATTCTACTCCATCAGTTCCCTAAAAGATGTGAGAATACCCTGGATGTTAGTCATTTGTAAAGATATATGTGAATCTTGTTGTAGGTTAAACAGAAAAATAGATTTAATATTTTACATAAATATGGAAATGTAAAGATTAAGGCAAAAGGGCAGGCATATATATTTAAATACACTGAATTCATAGTTAAACCACTTCATAGTGGGAAAGACTGGAGAGTAAGTAGATTTCTTTACCCTCCTGGTCTTTCTAGAATTTTACATACTGATTTCTTGGTTCTTTTATCCAGGTATCTCCCCTAATCCCCTTTTTAAAAAAGTAATCTCTACCCCCAACGTGGAGCTTGAACTCATGACTCTGAGATCAAGAGTTCCATGCTCTACTGACTGTGCCAGCCAGGTGTCCCCCAGGTATCTCACCTTTTTAAAATAACCCTCACTAGACTCTCATTTCTATCACCCAACCTCTGTACCTTTCCAGGAGAGTCATCAATATTTGGTGGTCTCCACTTCTTCACCTTTCACTCAACCCAGTCCAACCTAGCTACTACCACCATTATATGTCATCAAAAGAACTTTTGCTTGGACCACCAAGGAATTCCTTATTCCTAAGTCCAATACAGATTGTCGGTTTTCATCTTTTTGGCCTGTCTGCAGAACCTGGCACTGCTGACTGTTCTTTCTTAAAACATGCCTCTCTTGGCTTCTGTGACATCATATCCTGTTTTTCTTCCTGGCTGTCTGGCTATTATTCCCACCTCTACAAGCTTATCTTCTACTTAGCCATTAAATGTCACACTTCTGGGCTTAGTTCCTGGCCTCCTAATCTCACTGTATGTCCTCTCTCATGATAGTCCTACCAATGCCTGGTTTCCATTACAACCTAAATATGCAAGGATCAGTCTTCTATCTCTAGCCCAATTTTTCCTCTGGTTTCTTGTCCCAGGATATCCAGTTGCCTAGCTGACATCTCCATTTGCAAATCTCGAAAGAATCTTAAAGAGTAAGTTCAAATATACTGCAATCACAAACTTATGATCTGTCTACCCAAAAATGTTTCTCATCCAGTGATCTTACCATCTCTCTGGTTATGCACACCAGGCACCAGAAATCATTCTTTACACTTTCCCTTGGTTCTCACATCCAACCTATTATCAATTCTTGTCAGTTCTACCTCCTAAGTATATCTGGATTCCAACCCCTTTTCTCTCTTCATCCTAATCAAGTTACCATCATCTCACCCAGACTACTAACAGTTTCCTAACTGGTCTCTGGGAATTGACTTTTAGCAATTCCCACCTCACCCTGCCCCATTCCACTTTGCATAACCAGAGTCAGAACAATTTTTTTAATGACTTGCCTTAATCTTCAAATGAAGATTAGAGTCCTTTCCGTGGCCTAAAAGCAGTATACCATTGTCTTTTCAGCCTCTCATTCTGTGCCATGCTGGCCTTGTTTTTCTCTGACCAGTTATCTCCCAATATTCCTTGAGATCTCAGCTCAGTGGTCTGATAACCATAATTAGGTCGGATTCACATATTACAGTCTTTCAGAACCATGTACCCTTCTGATCATAGGACTTAACCACAATTAAAAATTGACATGTGTGTGATTATTTGACAAATGCCCATCTCCTCCATTAGACTTTAAGCTCCATCAGAAAAGAAATTCGGTTTTTGCTTACTACTGTATCCTAATACTTAGTGCAATATCTGATATGTAGTTAGTGCTCCATGTAGACTCAATTGTTGATGTGATAGAAGAAAAAGAGGGAAAAGGGAATACAATTATATGACTTATATTTCTAATGGTCTGTTACCCTGGCTAAGTTTTCTGCTCTGAAGCTGAGTACTTCTTTCTATAGAACTTAATCTATAGAACTTAAATGGTACATGGCCTAAATGGATCCTTGTGACCCATCATGGAACCTCTATTTGTTTCCTAAAGTTGACTCAAAGGCATACTTATCCTTAACTAAACAAGAGATAAGGTATTCCTGGCATATAATCTGTAACAGCAGTCTCACCTTCTTTGTTCTTATAAGCTTGTGGTCCCTAAATTCAGTTAGCTGGGCCCGAAGTGTCAGATCACTATTGACCAGGAATGCCTCTCGACACTGTTGGTAAAAATCTTGAAAAGAAAGTCCTAGAGAGTTCAAAAGGAGATGTGAACATAAGTTAGCAATTAAGACGTCACCCCATATATGGTTACCCATTCCAAAGAACACAGAAAAAAAGTGCTATTGCCACAGTATACCAAAGTAGTCAGTTTTAAGTACCTCTGGAAGAAACGAACTAGAGAAAACTTAATTATTATACACCGTGACTTAGATATATCTATTTAAAATAAATTGTTTTTAATGTTTTATTTATTTTTTGAGAGAGAGAGAGACAGAGTGTGAGTGGGGGACGGGCAGAGAGACACACAGAATCCGAAGCAGGCTCCAGGCTCTGAGCTGTCAGCACAGAGCCTGACGCGGGGCTCGAACCCACAAGCTGTGAGATCATGACCTGAGCCGAAGTCAGACGCTTAACTGACTGAGCCACCGAGGCGCCCCTAGATATATCTATTTTTAAAGAGAACTGATTGGTTGAAAGTAGTCAACTGACCAAGTAAAACCTAACTCTGGGCAGTTTTAAATGCGTGAATAACGCTGACTTTTAAAGAAGGAACTAGTAAGTCAGGAGAGCTGAACGATTATTAAAATATTTATCTAAGTTAACGGTTTTACCCAAGGGGAAGAAAATCTGCTAAGATGCCCAGCATATGAAATATGTTATCTGTAGACACATGTCCACAGTTACTACCATAGGAAATTTAAAAATAGGCCGGAAATGGGGCACCTGGGTGGCTCAGTTGGTTAAGCGCCCAAATTCGGCTCAGGTCACGATCTCAGAGTTTGTGAGTTTGAGGCTCGTGGGCTCTGCACTGACGGTGAGTATGAAGCTCGCTTGGGATTCTCTGTCTTCCTCTCTCTGCCTCTCCCCTGCTCTCTCTCTCTTTCAAAAATAAATAAAACATTAAAAAAAAAAAAAAAAAAAGGCGGCCAGATGGGGTCTTTCAATGTGCATTGGCAAACAGTGCGTTAAGCGGTGTTATCTGTGGGGCTTCTTGAAAATGTGCTATGTGGCAGACAAACTGATCACAGACCAAACCATTTATTTGCTCCTTTGAAACACTGCAGTGCTATTATTAGATTCCAGAAAAAGGAATTTATGGGGTGAAACAAAGTCAAACAATTTAATATTATAAATATTGGATACCAATGTAAGAAGGGTTATCCTGGTTATCCAGTTGATACTTTATTAGTAGCCTGAAGATCCCCCTAAGGAAAAAAAAAATTCAAATCCAGAACGTTAACATCAAAAGGTAACAGTAAAATACACAAAGATAATTTGAAATACTTGGCTTATACATACTCTCTTCTGTTCTTTTCTCCAAGGAACCTGACCTACTTAAAAAAGAGAAGCTTTTTTATAGACTTTTAAGGAAAATCTAGGAGTTTTCTTGAAGGCTACAGGTTGGTTCAGGTTAGAAAATTTTGAATATATAATAAAATGTAAACAGAATATTAATCCCGTAACCCTAAAATAACAACCACAAACATTTGATGTGGAAATCATATTTATGTATGCTGCCTTCTCAAATCTTTGTGGAATAAAGCAGGGTGGAAACACAAATTCATGCATTTATATATAGTATATACCATTTTATATCTCACCTTTTCACTTACTGATTTTCCCATATCATTAAAAAGTCTTCCTAAATTTTTAATGGCTGCTCATCTGTCATATCGTGTACCGCACAGTTACCATTGCCCTACCTGTTTTGGATGTTTACTTCCAATTTTATTAAAAATAACTCCACATTAAGTTGTACATATTCTTTCATCTCAATTTCTACAAGAGACTGCACAAAGTCGAATTATGGGGCTGGAAGCATGTTACACACCCTGAGATTTTCAGGAGTCCTTGGGTGTGGCAAAAATTTTAAATCTTTACATTTTCATTTTTAAGATGATCTAGAAAATAATCACATAAGTGTTTCTGGATCATCTGACCATGTTAGAACTAGATACTGCCACTGACTACACAGCTAAATGTTAAGATTTTTTTATCACATTCATACCAAGTAAACACTAAATAATATAGGAGTTTGCAGAATGAAACAAAATTTCATAGTTACAAAAAAAAAGCATCAGGGACACCTGGGTGGCTCAGTCGGTTAAGCGTCCGACTTTGGCTCAGGTCATGATCTCACGGCTCGTGGGTTTGAGCCCCATATTGGGCTCTGTGCTGACAGCTCGGAGCCTGGAGCCTGCTTCGGATTCTGTGTCTCCCTCCCTCTCTCTCTGTTCCTCCCCGACTCGCACTCACTCTCTCTCTCAAAAAAAAAAAAAAAAAAAGCGTTGGAGGCTAATACATAGACATTTAAGTATGCCAAACTAAAAACTGCTTGCATTAGAGCAGAGTCCTATTTAACGTTGTACTTATATTGTATGGATTCCCACCTTCATACACAGCAACTTGCAATAGTCCATTAACAGTAAACATAAGAAGATTGAAACCTTTTTCTATTGCAATTTAATAGAAATTTTGATTAGGTACCAATTTAATGCATATTTCAATACTAATACAATACTAATCTTCAGGTCTACAAAGCAGCTTTACAGAGTAACAAAATTAATTAAAATCAGTAATTGAGGGCTAACATGAGGCAGTCTTGTGGTACCGATACAGCTGAGTATCTTGACTGTGGTGGCTATAGTTTTACGTAAGGCTCCGCATGTGACTAAACTGCAAGGGCTATAAGCATACACTTGCACACATACAAATGAGTGCACATGTCCATGGTGAAATCTGAATAAGCTCTATGGATTTTGCCAATGTCTGGTTTTGGTTTTAATACTGCACTGTGATGGGAGGTATTTGGGAAAGGAGTACTCAGGACTTTCCTGGACACTTCTTTGTAGCCTTCTGTGAATACTCCAAAAGTTTTTAAAAAAGCAAACACATAAAAAAAAAATAAATGGGAAAAATTTTTCTAGAATGAAAAGATATGAAAGTTTTTGCCTATCCCATCCCCTAGTTTTTCCCCTCCCTTCTTTTATACAGTCTGTACTATCCTGAATTAGGTATTTTTCATTTCTGTGCACATTTTAAAATTTAACCATAATGACATATGCATAGAGTATTACAATACTACATAATACATAAAGTATTACAGTACTATATTGTTTTACATGCTTTTTTTCATATCTACCATCCTGTCTGGTTTAGCATTTGTCCTGAACAGAAATGTCTGGGTTTGGACAGTATGTGGTATTGTCCTACTACTGTTACCCCACATAAGTCAGACTCCCAACTGCCTTTGCTGCTCTTACATCCAGAACACAGCTGGGCTGTGGCTTCCATTCTCTCACTGCTCTATGATTGCTTCATTGAGATGTTCATATTTTCAGTCAGGCTATAATCTTTTTTTGTTTTTCCTTTGGTCCTTTTATATTTTATCTATTAATGCTATGTGTTTGGAACAAAAGGGGATGAATTAAAAGTGTGAAAACTATTGTACCATCCTGACTAGATGTGTCCATTGCTCTTGGGAGAAAAAAAAAGACCTTGCTAGTCTCATCTGCTTTAAGAAACTTTGCATTTTTCTGTCAAATTTAAAACACAAGAAAAATCGATGTTTGGATTAATTTATAGGTCCAATACATTCTCACTTGCTACCTCTATAATGTTCAGTCCACTCATCCAAGAACACACTATTTTTCATCTTTTCAAATCTTAATTATTTTTAACAGGGTTTATTGTTTTCAAACACTTCATCTTGTTAAAAATTGTTCTAGAATTCTATTCTTTTGGGGGGGAACTGGTACTAAAAGCCTTTTTCAATAGGTTATCATGCCCTTTATGTTTTGCCAGTTTATGCCATATCCAGCTTTTCTTAGCATTTCTTAATTCAGATACACCTCTTGGTGGGGCTGCTGAAAGGGCTCCACTAGAGACATTATACAAAGATCTTTAAGGGCAAGAGCTTTGGAGCCCAGCAGATGTGGATCAAAATCTCTGCCCGTTGCTATCTACCTTAGAGTAGCTGTGAGGATCAAATGAGTTATTTCATGTGAAGCGCCCCATGTTTGAATCAGAATGTTCAGTATATAATTAAAAATAACCCTCAGATTTAAGTAAAATCAAAATTCTTTTTCCTCCAGTGACCACTATCTTGAGATGTCTTATTTAGAAATATAATAATTAATGGGGTGCCTGGGTGGCTCAGGTCATGATCTCACGGTTCATGAGTTCTAGCCACACTTTGGGTGAGCCCTGCTTCTCTATCCCCCTCTCTCTCACTTTCTCTCTGCCCCTCGCTGACTTGTGCCCTCTCTGTCTCTCAAAAAAAATTTAGAAATATAAAAATTCAGAAAAAAAAATATTGACACTACTGTTGAGGAGTCTGCCTATTGCATAACCGAGTACTGCCAACTAGTTTTTACTATTTCTCTTAATCCTTCAAACTAAGTAGAGACTTTATTATTATCATTAAAACCTACTACTGCATGTCTTAAAATGTATGGAGTTTTTAAAAAGAAACTGTAGTTTTAATTCTTACCTTGCATTAGGGGTAAGGCTTCGTAAGACATGAGTTAGAGAACTCAGTGGTAATGATCCAGATTGTTTAACCAGAAGAGAATTCTCATAGGAAGTTTCTTCAGTATAAGGACTATACGTAGTAGTTTCATACCAGAGCCAGTTATAAAGACTCTGCTTTGCATGATCCCACACTACGGCATATGATTAAAGAAAACAAGAGTTATTAATTATTGTCATACTGTCATGTTACTAGATTCCACTCTAGGAAGTGGAAAGAATGAGAAAGCATTGAAATAAATGAATCCTAAAAATTTTCATTTTTGCCATTTTTCCATCCAAATCAGTACCTCACAATCTAATTTCATTGTCAGTCAACATCTATATCTGAATCTTTATTTGTATGCTGAATACAAGTAAAATATATTAGTGCTACACCAAGGCATTCTTTTGAAAAAATTTAATAACACTGTTCTTTTTGTGTTTTAAACATTTTTTTTTCTATAGGATCATCACAAAGTCTCTGAATTAAATGCATAAAGTCAATGTTGCAATACTTACAAAGAGTAGAAAAAGACCAATATAATAGTTGGGCCTCTCCTCCTTCATGAAATGAATACCCCCTTTAGAATCTGAATTTTATTTCCAAGAATTATGCTCTAAATCAGATTGAGGACACTTTTATTTTTAGCAACCCATGTCTTTAAGCATGCAACAAAAAAAGTGTACTGAAAAAACAATAAAAATGTTGATTTACAATAGTAAAAAATTTTTTAAGACTGGTATCTCAAGAAAGAGAAGGGAAGACTTACTGAGAGGAGCATTGAGGTGATCAATAGATGCTATAAGGTATATATTACGTAAAGATGACAACTGTCCAATAATTTGCTGGCTTTTGTCTCCTCTCAACATTTGGCTATCCAAATTGTGGATGAGAAGGAAGAGTTCTAAAGAAGAATCTAAAAGGAAAGACAACTCAATTATTATTTACAAGGCGTATTTATAAAATCCTTACAATACAAAATGCCTGTGAATTAAAAAATCAAAGTAGTATAGGACAAGGGTAACTACTGCATAGCAGTATGTAATATATTTGAGAAGATAGCAGTCTCTCAAAAATAGGCAACATATTATTAAAGTTTTAAGGAAATTGGTTGAAAATCTGTGGGGACTGGGTGGTTAGACACTTAACTGGAATGGTTAGTGCTCAAATCACATCATAAAGAAAGCAGTTTTAATCAGGTACAGGAAATAGTGCAAGATGCATATTGGGTTGGAGGTAAATCTGTGCATGTTGCATTGCAAGGTAGAAGTAGAGCTGGCGCGCGCGCACACACACACACACACACACACACACAGACACAGTTCTTACCAGGCATTAAGAGGCAAGATAGAAAACCCTGATTATCATAAAAGCCAAAGAAGACAAAAAAAGGGGAGGGAGTGAAATTTAGGATATTGCTCAAGGCATCAGGAAAGTCAGAGAAGTAAATAGTATCATAAAGGTTAATGAAGGAAGAATTTGGAGGATGGAGCTGTCAACGCCATTAATTACTGCAGAGATCAAGATAAAGGATGAGCCAAGGCCACTGTGTTTAGTAAGAAAATTACACAGGTAATCAAGCATATAGTTCATGTAGCACAGAAGCAAGAAATTGAGGAAATAGGTAAAAAGGCATGACATGTCTTCAAAAACTCTGAAATCACTGAAACAAAATAAAACAGTGTGGAAGGGCAGCAGAATCAGGTAAACCTTTTCTTATGATGGAAGAAGTCCTATATATGTTTAAAAGCCACTGTAAGTCTCTCAGGAGTTGGTAAGAAATGAGACATTTAGCATTTATAATGGACAATAAGCCTACTAGAGTAAGTAAATTTCTCTCCCACTGGGGCTAGAGGGACAAGAGAGACTACAGCAACAAAGATTCTGAGAACATTTTGAAAGTCCAAGGTTCCTTAAATTCTAGAAGCCACCATAATCAATAGTGTTTAAATTCTATATAGACATATAATTCTATTTTATAATTATATAAAATTATATGTTTACATCATATGCATTACACTATATATATTTATGAACTATGTAATTAGTTACATATATTCAAATTATATACCCATATGTGAAAACTTTTATTTAATTATATAATTACAAATATATTTTATTTATTTATTTATTTATTTATTTATTTATTTATTTATTTTTGAGACAGAGAGAGACAGAGCATGAATGGGGGAGGGGCAGAGAGAGAGGGAGTCACAGAATCGGAAGCAGGCTCCAGGCTCTGAGCCATCAGTCCAGAGCCCGACGCGGGGCTCGAACACGCAGACTGCGAGATCGTGACCTGAGCTAAAGTCGGATGCTTAACCGACTGAGCCACCCAGGCGCCCCCAAATATATTTTATATAAATAACCAAATATGCATTACATAAATGAATATATACATGAAAAATGACTCAGGCACCTATTTTAAACAATTTATAACAATACCAAAATTCTAGATTAAGTTACTCCTTTTATTTTTTTTTAAGTTACTCCTTTTTATTAAGTAGTAACTAAGTGACAATTGTTGGACCCTAAATAATTTTGTTTTTAGTTTTCTGAAATGCTCACATAGCCAAAACACTCACACCAAAAGAATAACAAAAAAATGCTTTTAGGGGTGCATTGGTAGCTCAGTCAGTTAAGTGTCCGGCTCTTGATCTCAGCTCAGGTCTTGGTTTCACTGTCGTGAGTACAAGCCCCACACTGAGCTCTGTGTTGGGCATGTAGCCTATTTAAAAAAAAAAAAATGCTTTTTTTCCATTCTGCAGATTTTAGTATATGAAATTATTCAAATGCAGTAATATTTACTGAGAATAAAGAAGAAAAGTGTTTTATAAAAATATTAAATATAAAAATACCAAAGATGCACGTATCAACTGGGGGCACTTCACACAGGCCAAGTAAAACCTGAAAACTATTCTGAAATAATAGGCTTTTGGTTATACAAATTCAAGGTGTTTGGGGTAATTCTTTCCTGTTAGGTAAGTGAAGTTCACAAAAAAGTTGATGGAAAAAGAAAGGGCAAATTACTTCTGAGAAATCTAAATCATCATTGAGAGAAGTGTTGTTATTGAAATAATCCCCTGTACAGAATAATACAGAGCTTCCTCAGTCTCAGATGGGCATACATCCCGATAAACCCATTCTAAATTGAAGTCAAAAATACTTTTAATACACTCAACTGAACATCATAGCTTAGCCTAGCCCACCTTTTTAGTTTTTTTAATTTAAATTTTAGTTAACATACAGTACAGTGTTGGTTTCAGGAGAATTCAGTGATTCATCATCACTTACATACAACACCTAGTGCTCATCACAAGTGCCCTCCTTAATACCCATCACCCATCTAGACCGTTCCCCACCCACCTCCCTCCATCAACCCTCAGTTTGTTCTCTGTTGTTAAGAGTCTCTTGTGGTTTGTTTTCCTTTCTTCTCTTCCCCCCACCACCTTCCCATATGTTCATCTGTTTTGTTTCTTAAATTCCACATAGGAAGGAAATCGTATGGTATTTGTCTTTCTCTGATTGACTTATTTTGCTTAGCTGGCTCCATCCATGTCAATGCAAATGGTAAGATTTCATTCTTGTTGATTAGCCTAGCCCACCTTAAATGTGCTCAGAACAGCCTACAGTTGGGTAAAATTATCTAAAACAAAGTCTATTTTATAATAAAGTGTTGAACATCCTATGTAATTTATTGAATACTGTACCGAAAGTGAAAAACAATGGTTGTACGGGTACAGAATGGTTATATCAGTTATTTACTTTCATGGTCATGTGGCTGACGGGGAGCTGTGGCTTGCTGCCACTGCCCAGCATCACAAGGGAATGCAGCACCACATACCCCTAGCCCAGGAAAAGATTAAAAATGCAAAATTTCAAGTATGGTTTTCTACTGAATGTGTATTGGTTTTGCACCATCATAACATCAAAAGTGGTAAGTCAATCCATTTTAAATTGGGGACCTCCTATCTGTATGTGTATGCTTAGCTTTACCCCCTAAAACTAGAGCATCTACTTCATGTTACCTTCTTTAAATTTGTTTACTATCCAGTCTAGCTGATCCAGTACACTGCGGAAAGTACCCATATGATCGAGGACTTCTTCTGTTATAGAATTCAGGATCTATATCATAAAAGTGCAAGAGGTACATCAATTACTACTTATTCTATCATATAGGATAAATACAACTAGCAAATCAATCTTTTCTTATAAGTTAAAGATGAATTTAGATTTCCTATCAAGTCTAAAAAAACCACTTAAAAAATCCTTCTGGTACTTAAGTATATCAAATTCATTTTTGGCATTAAGTTATGGCAAAAATGAAACATGGAAAAATACCAAAGACATAAAGATAAGAGGGTAGCAAAAATAACCCCCCTCCAACAAAACGGGAAACATTCGAAAACTATATATTTATCAAAGGAAATGGGATACACACATTAAAGACACTTTTCAAAAGGAATACTGCATTATTAATATCTAGCACCAAAAGGTTTTTGTTTTCAAATGATGAAAGGACACAAGCATTTGCACTAAAACTGACCTATGATACATTATAAAACTACAAACTATTACTTATTAGAGTACTAAAGTGACATAAAAGCAATAATAAAATCAAAGTCTTCCATAATCCTGTCCTTCACAAAAGTACTGTTGTTGGTATTTGGTAAACAAAACCAACATTTGTCTAAGATTTACTATATTTATCAGTTACAAAGTAGGAAATTCAGAGATGAGGTTTCAAAGCTAGAACCCTGAGTCCCAACACATGATCTTAAGCATTATGCAATCCTACTAGTGTCAAGGCTAAAAAAATTTGAATGTTCCAGAATGTAAATGGTATGGGTATCAAATGGCAGGGGATATAATGTTGCTCCTTTTAACATTTTAGAAACTTACTGATTTCACACTTATTCCAGGAAAGAAGCCATTGATGACAACATGAATGGAATCTTGCAGCACAGTGGTTCGAAACCTTTCTAGTAAATCTCTTTTAGAACCCAAACCAAAAAGCACAATGTTGAACCCCAGGCTGTTAGGAAAGATAGCATTCATGAAATTAAAGTTCAGTACCTCTTACTTAAGTTTTTAGAATTAACTAGTTTAAGTTTATAAAAAATACAGAAAGAACTAGGATGACTAAAGAACTACATTGATTCTCAACTTATACAAGGTAAAAGCGCAATTTTATTATTATCTGTACACCAAACTTACAGGTCCAGCATCAGTAACTTTCTCTCCAGCTCTTATTATCTTTCAGGTGATGGATGGCTGGAGGCAAGGGAGAACAACAGGAGGCACAAGGCACTAAACAGTTGTACAGGCTGAAGCTGAGTTTTAATAGATTAAATAGGAAAAGTAAGCAGAGGCCAAATCACAAAGGTCTTGTTAAGTCAACTAAGACATTAGATTTTATTTAAAGGACAATGACCATTTAACAGTAACTAGTCAGGTGTTAACTGAAAGGTTTTAAGTAGGAAAGTAGCATGATATTTTCACCCTGGCTGAATAGGGCGAATGCACAGAAGAAGGGGAAAACTGCCAAAGATGATGAGCTTGAATTAGGTGTTATGGAGAAAAATAGAAGTTATCAAGAGCTTTACATGTCAAATCAATAGGATTTGGAGAGTGATTAGATGTAGAAGGTGAGAGAAAGGGAATATTTCAAAATAACTTGGTTTTTTTTGGCCTAGGCAACTATGTGGATGAAGTGACTTTCACTGTGCCAGGCTGCAGGGGCAGGTGGCAATGAGGGGTTTAAGAGGAGTTAAATTTTATATATATTGAATTATTTACAGGACATCAACATGGAAACCCTCCAATGTACACTGATGTACCTGTATATGCTGCTGAGGAGTGAGATCTGGGCTGGCCTGGAGAAATCATGGGAGTTACTCACATGCAAAAAGCAACCAAAGCCCAGAGAGTGAATGAGAAGAATTAGAACACCAAGCACCTAGGGGTCAAGCTAAAACTCAACTCCATGATTGTTTATAGAAGTCTATCAGAAACAGTATTTATGTGATGCTCTGTAGCAATGCAGGGGAGCCTAGAAGAAAAGCAATAACCCCCAAAGTAGAGATAGATGGTGCAAGGTAGCAGCACCAGAAAAAAAAGTAAGGGAATTCAGAGAGTCGACAATTCTGTTAAGTAGCTGAATGAGGTATAGGCTGGGAAGCAAAGTCAAACAAGTTATCAGAGTTGACATACTGGAAGGAGGAACTGGTGGATGCTGCGGGATGGGATCAGAGTGAAGAGCTACTTTACAAATTTATAATGAACAAATCTATAAAAAGTTATTAGGAGAAGCTGAGGTCCTAGCAATGAAGATAGGCATAACCCTTTGATGTATTACTGGCAAAAGAAAGCCAGGATCAATTGAGGAAAATTGTGTCAATTTCTAGTTTTACTGCTTGGTGGACCTGACTTGTTATTTATCCCTATGACTATGTAACTGTGAGTATACATGTACAATACCATACATTTTAAGCACTTCCTTATACTAAGATCCTTTTTAATAAAAGTGTAAAAGTAATTATAGTAAAAAAAAAAGTTTTCCTTTTAATCATTGTTCTAATTGTTTTAATGGGAATTTGAAATTTAACCTGAGGTATCTGAAAAATGGTAAAATTCAAAAAATATTCAAAGAAATAATTTTAAAATGGTAAAATGGTATTTATAGGACAGATAAAAACCTGAAGATCTATAGCACATGAATACAGAATAAGATTAAAATATATATATATTCTTTTTAGAAACTTTGCTGTGGAAAACTAGATTAAAATGTAACTGAGGGGCACCTGCGTGGCTCAGGTGGTTAAGTGTCCGAATCTTGATTTCAGTTCAGGTCATGATCCCAGGGATATGGGACTGAGCCCCACATGGGGGCTCCACATGGAACGTGGAGCCTGCTTAAGATTCTCTCTTTCTCTCTCTAACCCTCCCCTGCGCTCTCTCTTAAAAACAAAGAAAAAAATCTAATTGATATATCTTATCAGTCTTGACAGATTAGATTTTTCAATATTTTTACAAGTAATAACAATTCTAATAAAGGCTATTTTGCCAATGGCTTTCATATATGATAAACTTAGACACATTTCTTGAAAACTAGATTTTCTGAGATGAGTCATACAATATGACATTTCTACATCTGAGTCATCAAATTAGGAAAACACCTATTTTTTCACAATTTTATATGTAAAAATACATCAAGTTGATTGAAAAAAGAAAATTAAATGTTAGATTGCTTTGATTTTAACACACAGACATGTAAATAATAGTACTTACCGTAACTGCAACATCCATTTATGAAATAATTGTTCATACTGTTGATTTAGTTGTTTAAGTTCAGCAGAAAAGGAAGGAGAAACCTTGCTCAGTAAGTTACGCAAAGTTTGCTTTAAAAAAAGAGGGAAGAAAATCACTTTCAAACCACATACATCAAAATCAACAGAAACTAAAAATATTTCCTTAGAGGTAGACATTAGAAGAGGCCATTAGTGGAAATATTACTTTAACCAGGCTTGGTAATGAGTTCATCAACTGAATACACATACTATTTACGGTTTAAGTATTTGTTTTCTTAAAACTTTTTGTCTAGAACCATATCTATGATTATAAATTCCAAATATAAGGCTTTAATTTCTAAAAAGATCATTACCATGAGGAGATGATTAAACCTGCCTCCCAGCTTTGACAACAAATCCAGACAGACTTTTTAAGACCTATGAATTTGAAGAAATGTGAAAGCTTAAGGTAACAATATGAATTCTCAGAAAACATTAAAGTTTCTTTATAATTCACCATTATCACTAA